CATAGGAGTTCTCTGTCAAAGAATGCACTGTGATGATTGCCATACAGACACAGAACAAAAAGACCACTCTTTGCCTTATGCTAAAGAATAAGAATTTTGACAGCTCCTGAATGAACATTTTTAACATCTGAATTTTCAGATGCAAAACCACGGTTCATCTGCAACTGCAAATTAAATGAAGAGCAGCAATGAGGAAGTTCATATGATAGCCTAGAAACAACCAACTGACCCATGAGTTCTAGCCTTTGCCTGCAGCTTTCCAGCTTCTGGTACTCTTAAATGCCAGGTTTAGTATTTTTGGCTGGAATGGAGAGTGTACAAATTACAGTACTTCAATCCAGTTGAACTGAAATTTTTACTGCAGGAAGTCTCCCTTTTTAAAACACCTAAAACATCATAGAAGCTGTGGCAATATGGGTACCCTGTTGGGGCAATTGCAGTGTGTGTGTATAGAGATAGCAAGAGGTTTGTGTGATAACAGCATGGAAACAGTATAAGAAGTTGGAAGAGAACCGACCTTTAAGCCCACTTAGAGTTTTTTTCCAATGTCTATCAAGTTTACTTGAAGCCTTCATATATTTGGTATTTGCCCCTAAGTCATTACATTTGATCAATTTTGTTCAAGGCTAGAAAGAAAGTTCTCATGTCAGAGCCTTCACAGAGAATATACAACCACTTCCTCTTCCCATTTATAAAATTGAAAAATCCATCTTAAATTGCTTTTGCTGAGGCAGCACAGTAGAAGGTGCAACTGGTCTATTGCTTTTGGGGTCAGACACCATGAGATTGGTCTCTGTCTCCCTTCCTATCCCATATGTTTCACCATCACGAGTTGAGTAGATGAAATTAATTACCAGTTTCTCCCTGCATTATCCCCTGAGTTTCCGCTCTCACCTTCATACAAACATTTCTGTTTCAGCCTCATATTAATTCCTCCCATATGCAAGAAGCTGCCCACCTCTCTAACCCTACCTTCCTCTCCAAACTACATCCCTCACCAAACAGCTGGCCCACACTGCCTACATCAAAGGTTTTCCTGTTTATCACACCTTATCTGACAGTTACAGGTGCTGTTTATTGCTATAATGACCTATTCATTGTTATGCACCATTTAAAGCAGCCCACGCAGGAAAAACATTAATACAGATGTGGTACAACATTCCTCACCAAGCAGATCTAGTGAGAGGGAAGATAATGATAACAATCAAATAATATATCCACCACTACGGCAACACCAAGCAATAAAAGGTTAAACTTAGATTACTTCAATGCTGTAACTCTTCTTAAAATAGGCCAGATAATAATTTAATAGATAATATCTATTAAATTCTGTTCCATTCACAGCTGTTCAACAAATCAGACCTATATAACCCAAGCACGATTTTAAACAAAATTCTGCACAGACTATCTTTAAAATCAGTTAGCTTTGACATAAAGGCAAAATGTGGTGAAAACCTGTAAATTAGTTTGCACACTTCCCTTTCTATTAATACTAGCAGGCTCATTTTGGGTGGGATTTTTCATTTTCTTCAGAAGTCTCTAGAGTCTTTTTTTGAAAATAAAATAAAAATCCAAAAATAAGAACAAAAGAGTCCAAAATATGCTAGTGTACTGCTGGCTAAATGACTAGGCTAGTTTTCTGGCTGGGCAAATCTTCAAAAATCATTTTCTCTACTGCATGAAAGAGTTATTTATCACAGAAGTCCGTGCAGTCAGAAGACAACACGAGGGATTCGTGCCAAAAAGAAAGGCAGCATCAAATCCAAGACCGGCCCTTAGAGCTTGTACCACTTTTCAAGCCATTCCTGTTGGAGTGCTATAGCATTTCTCTAACAGGAGGAGCAAATTACCAGCCGCTGACATTTGGGCTGCTCACTTATTCACCTTCTTTTCTGCTCCGAATTTCCAAAGTCTGCAAGGTTTTAAACATGTGTTATATACAAATAACACCAGAGCATTGTGCTACGGCATCTTCTCTTTTTTTGTGGGAGTTGTCTTCAAGCTGTAATATGTAGCTTTTGGGATTTCCATTGGGGCCAAGCAAGCCGGGGAGTGAGCGGAGCTGGGCGACAATGGGAATATCCGGCTCTGCCTCCCACTGGAAAAAACAGCAACAACAGAAGGGGAAGGGAAGATTCCTGGACACCGCATGACAATTGTCCTGTTTTGGGGAGCTCAGGAAGAAGGAAGTCAGCCTAACAGCCCCACTGCGTGACCTTTCCAAGCAAACTTTCCAAGCTATTTAGCGAGGCGGCGGGAGGCTGCCGCTCCTCCTGCCGTACCGCCGAGCTCCCCAGGTCCCGCTGTCCCTGGCTGAGCCGCGGCTGAGCCGCTCCAGGGCGGCGATCCCCGCTCCCCCGGCCAGCCGAGCCTCCCGCCGAGCCTCCCGCCGCGCCCCGCCGCACCTTTTGCTCAGAGGCCGG